TATCTCACTCTTCTTCCAAAGCAAATCCCTTGAGCGCCCTGGGCTCTGCCATTTCTAGCCTTCAGGGCCTCTGCAGGCTGTCAGTCCCCACAGCCACAGACAGCTAGGACTTTCCTCTCACGCTCCCCTGCTGCTCCTGCTTTTCTGCACAAGCCAGTTCGAATCAGCCAATGAGATTGTGCCAGGTACTGTGCCGGGCACCGGAGACCCAGCGCCACCACAATCCCAGGAGCTCTAGGTCTACAGAAAACATCAAACAGATGCTTAGCAGATGGGGAATGCCACTGAGAGCCCTTTTAGGAGGAGAGGAGAAATCTGGAGAGGCTTCTTGGAGGAGGTGGCCTTTGCACGGGGTTTGATAGAGGAACACGTGGAGGACTCTCCAGGAACAATATAAAGGGTAAAAAGCAATAGGTGTAGCTGAGACACTGAAACAGGGGCAACGGTGCCAGGACGGTCTGTAGGGCGCCGAAAGCCTTAAGACCAAGGCTGTGACCTTGCTTCACTAGGTAGCAGGGAGCCATTGCAAGTCGTTGAGTGAAGTACCCAACTCCGCAGGTGACGGCAGCGATAGTGCCCTGGTGGTTCAGGACGGTGGCAAAGATAGATCTCTCCCCTCCCACAGTGCCCACCTGGCCACCACGGCCTGGACCCCCATTTCCCATCTCTGCTTCTGCCCAAGCCTTGGCATTCCCTGTTTCCCAAAACTCCTTCCTCATTTGGGGAACTGGAGAGGAAGGGAAGGGGTTCTGATAAGAGGGCCAGCCTGAGGCCTGGCTGGGCTGGCAGGCCTCACACCCACTCCTGCCCCCACCCCTTCAGTTCATCCTCATCTTCACCGTGATCCAGTACCGGCCAATCACCTACAACCACTACCAATACCCAGGCTGGGCCGTGGCCATCGGCTTCCTCATGGCTCTGTCCTCGGTCATCTGCATCCCCCTCTACGCCTTGTTCCAGCTCTGCCGCACAGATGGAGACACCCTCCTCCAGGTGAGCGCTGGCGGCAGGAGGCAGCCACTGAAGGGCGGTGGGAGGCTGGCTGGTGGGGCTTAAGGGCTGCCCTCTCCCATGTGCACGGCCCCCCTCCGCCCGCCCACCCACGTCTCTACCTTTACTGCAGCGTTTGAAAAATGCCACAAAGCCAAGCAGAGACTGGGGCCCTGCCCTCCTAGAACACCGGACTGGGCGCTATGCCCCGACCATGCCACCCTCGCCTGAAGATGGGCTTGAGGTCCAGCCACTGCACCCAGACAAGGCCCAGATCCCCATCGTGGGCAGTAATGGCTCCAACCGTCTGCAGGACTCCCGGATATGAACACAGTTGCCAGGGGAGCGCCCCACCCCACCCCGTGCTCCCACCACAGAGACTGGGGAGGCAGTGGGCAGGTGTCACCGCCTGCCCTCGTCACACCCTGGCCAGGGCGGCTGCTGTCACCTTGGCCACCACTGCTAGCTCGTGTCCCCAGTGTTTACAGGTCCTTTGGATGTCAAGATGGCAGCTGGGGGGTGGTATGGGTGACGGGAGGGCGGGTGGGGGTCCCAAAGAACTTTGGAGGGGACGTGGGTCAGGTCCCCAGAGTCCTGCAGGGCCTTACATGACCTGTGATGCCCCCACACTGCCCTGACTGAGGGTCTGGGTGGGCCCCCAGCTGTCCCCCTCGTGGGCTTCCAACCCCTTAACTAACCAGTGTTCCTGCCCTTAGAGCAGGGCCCAGCCTCTGCCCAGGCAGATTCGGATCTCCCCGCTGGGAGGCTGGAGGGTGTGTCGTGTTACTGTCAGGCTGTGCTGCCCAGCCCTGTTTGTCTGTGTAATTATTTTTGTAAAAACTGTATTATCTGTGGTTGCCACTCCCTCGTCCCCAGCCTTGGGCTCCATCCGTCTTCCAGGCCTGCCTGCACCTTATCTGGTGGCTTGGGCTCTCTGCACTTCATTCTGGCCCTGGCTGTCAGGCCCAGCTAATAGAGCCCATGACCCAGTCGCCTGCCCAAAGCGCTAGTTTGGGGGCAGGGAGGAGAGAGCAGGGCCGGGGGGTTGCTCAGCAGGAGGCTTGCTCCTAGAGCCCTGGCGAAGGAGCTGCACACGTCCCAGCCCTGCCCTCCCTCCACCAGGCTGAAGGCCCAGTCTTCCCAAATTGGGCTGCCCTCACTCGTGTGCCAAATGGCCCCAGCCCGCGTGCCCCTCCCCTCCCCAGCCCTGCAGGGTCCGTTTGTCTGTCCTCTGTGCTCCTCTGTGCAGTGACAGCCCGACCAAGCCGCCTCTAATCCTCTGTAGCAATAACGGTGCACGGCCACCCCTGCACCACCCGTGCACCACTAGGATTTGAAAGTCCATAGATTTTAATGAAATTTCTATTCCTGTCTCTGAGCTGCTGCTGTGCTTTGTGTGGGTCCCCCAGGGGGACAAGAGTCAGGGCTGGGATGAGACCTCTGCCTGCCAGGTCTTTGTGGAGGCCTGGGAGGAGAAAGGCCAAAGGCTTTGATGGTCTGGTCAGAAGCTGGGCTTGTGGCCGGGGCGAGGGCCAGCGCAGTGAGTGCTGGAGTCCTAGTGAGAACCCACCCCAGGCTGGATCTGAGGGGGGCTGGGCCACAGCCGCTGCGAGGCGGCAGCAGCAGATGGGGAAGGTTCCAGCAGAAACTGAAGCCTGCTCCATGCCAGCCCCTCAGCTTGGGGCCTGGGGCACGACACTGGACATCGGAGTGGAAGTTGGCCTTGTTCTGGGGCTGCACTGAAGCCTCCGTCCCCAGCGGCCGGTGGCAGATGGGCCTCTGGGGCAGGGGCAGCTCTCCAGGGGAGGAGCGGGCAGGTGTCCCTGGAGAGGCCCAGCCCAAACTCCGGCAGTCCCACGGAGACAGGGCAAGGGCCTGAGGCTCCCGCTGGGCCCGGAGGGCTGCCACCTGGACATGAAGGAGTTGGTGTGAGGGGACTTGGGCTGCCCACTGCCTGCTGCACCAGGACAGCCACCTGCCTGGGCTTACCTGCGGTGGGGGGACACACAGGCAGGCATCCGAGGCGCTTGCAGCTCCTGTTGCATGGCTGCCTTCTGCTCCTGTAGCTCTGAAGGAGGCAGTGTCTGAGACGGCACCCAGGTCTGCCAGGTATGTGCACGTCATGGGGGGAGCAGGAGGTTGGGTGCTCTAGGGCTTGCTCACGGTCCTCACCTGCTAGGGTGGGCTCTAGGGTTGCCTCGGAGGGCTTGGGTGCCCCTGTGTACTCCTCCTCCAAGCAGCGCTGCAGGGGGAGCTGGCTTAGTGCCCCGAGTGGGGTGGGGTGGGGTGGGAGGGGGCGGGGTGGGATACAGAGGCCAGATCCTCAGGGTAGGGCACAGGAACCAACCCGTATGGTCCCCTTACCACAGCCACTTCAGGGCAGCCCCCGAGGGAAACACCAGCCCCCTGAAAGGTAGCCTGGGCTGGGAGAAGGGAAGGAGGTGGAGCCCAGCAGTTTAATCTGGACAAAAGGGCTCACCCACGTGAGGCTCACGTGGCACGCAAGGCTCACACGAACTTCACGCCCATGTACAGACGTGTGTGGGTCTCATACCAGGTTAGAGGCAGGTGCACCCACATGCGGGAGCGGCTGTGAGGGGAGGCCTGGGGTGCAGCTTACCTGCAGGGCCAGGACCTCCCTCTCCAAGGTGCGACACTCCTCCTCCAGGAGCCCCCTGGACACGAGAGGGTGCGGCACCCAGAACAAGGCCACAGAACAGAGTCTCAGCTGAGCCTTCAGGGCAGCCCGAACCTTCAGCCTCACAGGGAGCCCTCTTCAGGCCCTCCTTTCTCAGCCCCCAGCGCAGACTTCCAGCTCCGCTGTCCTCCTCCTGGGCAGGCTGTAGCGTCTCCTTACCCAGGTCACGCACCCACCTCAGCAGGGACCAGCCTCGCTCCGCACTACTGCGCCACGCTGGGCTGACTGGTCTCCCTCCCGCCCCCAGGCCGGTCAGGGTCAGTCTCAAGCTCTGTCCCCTGCTGGCACCGGCACTCGGCTCCTTAGCGGCAGCCTCAGCAGCCCTGACCGTCCTACCTCTTAGCCCTACCCCCAGCTCTCCCTTCTCCCTTCCCACAGTGCCAACCCTTCAAGACCCATCCCAGCACCATCCCACAGCCCCACAGTGCGCTGGGGCCTCACCGCAGGTATCCGGCAACCTTGTCAATGTCAGACACGTTCAGCTGGTCCTTCATGGTGTCAAGGTCCCTGAGACAGCTGCTGCCCGTTGAAGTGGACATCACTCTCCTCACGCCGCTGTCCCCAAGCCTTCAGAACACAAATACCCTTCCTCCTAGACAAGGCTGTGTCTTCCTCACAAACTTTGTAACACAATATGGTACAAAGAAGAAGCTTTCTGGAGCCTGGCTTGCAGCTGGGTTCTGCCACACTTCACCGGGTGTGGCCAATCGGGGATCTGTTCTGAATTTTACTTCCCCTGTGTGCCAAATGGGGACATCATCTACCTTGCAGGGGTGGGTGAGAACTGGAAATAAGTTGCTACCATCCACTTAGCAACATGGCGGCTCACTGACCTCATTCAGTCCCAGGATGTGAATGCCACGGGCTCCCTCTCCCCGCCGCTCTCCTGCCTGTCTATCCCAGCCCTTACTTCTGTTCTCCAGGCCTCAGGAACAGCACTGACCAGTGAGCACAGCCTCCTTGTCCCTTGGCTGAGTACATGTGGTGATCCTTCTTCCTGTAGCTCTCCTTCCTCTGCCTGGAAATCTGGTCCTCATCTCCAAACCCAGATCAAACCCGCCACATTTCTCCAGTAAGCCTTGCCAGCCCCCAGGTCCCTGGGAGGTGTCCCCTGGAGCCTGCAGTCTTCATGGGCTGACTCCTACCTCAAGAGGCTGGAGGGGTCCAGTCCCGAGCCAGGAGCTCCTCCGCGGAGCTGGCTGGGGCCCGCCAGTTGCCTGTGGCCTCTGCCAGGCAGGGGCAGACCCCTTTCCTCCTGCCACCACTTTACCTGCATTCGCCAGTTTTCATCTGGACTGTCTCCTGTTTAGGCACATCCCGCCTGGGCTCCTCCAGGGCAAAGTGCAGGACACTGGGGCTGTACTGGACCCAAGCCTGGGTTCGGTCCCTGAATTAGGTGCACAAGGAGGAAGCTCAGGTGTCCTTCCAGGAGCCGCAGGAAACAGGCCCCAGGCCCCTTGTCAGGCCCATCTGAGTTCTGAGGAAGGGGCCCAGCCCCAGGCCTGAGGTTCCCACCTGCCCTCGCAGATGGCCTTGCTTCGGAGACCCTGGAGCAGCTGCCGGAGCTCCTGGCGCACTATGTCCCTTAGGAGGGGCGGGGGTGCCAGGAGGGGTGAGGGGCCAGAGGTGGGGCGGGCACTCTGGGTGTGGGAGGACCGAGCCTCCCGAGTCAGTGACCGCAGCATCGCCACCTGCAACGAGAACTAGGACACCTTGCGACTCGGGAGGGGGGAGCTGGGGGAGTGAGGGGCAGCTCAGAATGGAAATGGAGAGGTCTAGGGGAACAGTGAGACCCGATGAGACTGGGAGTGACTGAGCTGCGTCGCAGAGAAGGTGGGAAGCCACCGAACCGGACCGTAGGGCTGTCTGGGGGTGTGCCACACCTTCCCATTCCCCACCTCTGCCCGCAGCTCCCGACTCAGCTCCACCGTGGTCTCCCCCAGAATCCGCTTCACTTCGAGCCGCTCGGGGAGCGGAATATGCTCCTCCATCAGCTCCCACAGCGAGGCAGAGTCCCCGGGCATGGCCTTCCCGCACAGCCCCGCGCGGTCACCAGGCCCGAGCTGCGGACCCGGTCAAGCGCCGAATTACCGGGAGACGGCGGCGGTCCCCAGGGCCGGGCCCCGCCCCCACCCCGTCCGGCTCGCGGGCCTCCCCCAAGCCCCTCGGTGGAACGGACACGGCCCAGAGCCGCCGGTGTCTGGCGCTCTCCCCTGCCCGGCTCTGGGAGACTCTCAGGGGCCGCGGTTCCGGGCAGGGGAGCCACGGCCCCAGCCGCAGCCGTCCGCGCCGCCGTCACCCGGGAAACGGCGCCGCTACCCAGGCCCCGCCCCCCGCATTCCAGGTCGGGCGGGCGGCGCCGGCTCGCGGGGAATCCGAACGATCGGCGGAGCCCGACTCCAAGGACCTTGGGCTCCCGCTAGGCCACCGGTTGGCTGTGGGGCAGGTAAAAGAAATCGGAGGCCACTGGGCGTATTAACTCGTCGCCTCCTCTATCCCAGCAGGTCGCTGGCAGGGCGAAAAACTAAACAAAACCCATCTGAGCTGCTGCGCTAGCAGCGCCTGGAAATCCGACAGACCCAGTTGGGGCAGACGCCCTCCCACAACACATCCAGCTAACTGGGCCCAGGGACGCAGATCCCCATCCCCAGATACACAAGGGGCTGCTCCATTCACGTTTTTTACTAAAGCACCCACACAAGTTTCTGTGCAATGTACAAACATCAGCCAGCCCTAGGGCTACTGCCTGTTCTCTGAGACAGGGAGGCAGAAACAGACTGATCCAAGCTTCACCTGCCCCCCACCTCGTGCAAACCCCAACCCCAAGATCCCAGGCAGCAACACAGCACCCCCCTCCTGACTCCTCTTGGGGCTGCTCCTCAGTAAGGGGCACACCAGAGTTTGCCCCCTACAATGTTGAATGAAAAAGGTTTCCCCTCCCCTGGGAGCGTGGGGGATCCCCAGGTCTGAGAATTCCCCCTGGAAGAGACAATGCCCCCTAGTCATGACTTCCCACCCTTCCAGGCCCTAGGGGACTCAAGGGGGGGAAACTGAGGCACAGAGAGGTGGAGTGACCTAGCCCAGGCCACTCGGTGAGGCAGTGCAGGGGCTGGCCCAACCCTGAAGGTGAGGGGGGTTGGACTGGGGAGGGAGGGGCAGGAAGGAGGGTTGACCCCAGAGAGGGTCACACTTGAGAGGCCTGCCCAGGATGGAAGCCCCCCAAAGTAGGTTCTGAAACTTCCAGGTGCAGCTGAGGGGCCTATCAAAGATCCTTGGAAAACAGAGCCTACAGTCTTGGTCCTGGGGGAGTCCCCCAAGAGCAGTCGCCAGCCAGGCTGTATGTCAGTCCTCTGGCAGGCCGTCCTTGGCAACGGGAGCCTTTGTCCATTACTGTTAGCCCCGAGGGGGCCATGACGGGGGCCGCCCAATGTCCACTGTGATGTTGGTGAAGAGCGGTTGCCGAGACACCTCCAAGACCTGGTAGCGCACTGACCCGATGCCGTCCCGTTTCATGGTCAGCTTCGTGTTTTGAATCTTCGTGAACCTAGACAGGATGGAAGTGGGTCCACATCAGGGCTAACCACCAAACCAGTATGGGATCTCTGGGACCAAGCCTCAAGCCATCCGGGCATCTTCCAGGGATGACGTGGCTTTCCTGCCCACTCCCGCCACCCCCTCTCCCCACCTGCCTAGAGCCCTCCGACTCTCACACCTGCCCTCACAACAAAGAGCTCACCCCCTTCAGTCAGCAAGGACACGCTCACAAATCGCTCAGCTCAGACCTTTCTGGGCCTCAGCCCCAGACAGAGGTATTCCGTGGGCACCTCAAGCAATGTCCTCTATCAGATGCGTCAGTTTTACTCCCTAAGTCCATCATCCCTATTCCACACCCTTCAGTCACTCCTTCACTGTCTGCTGAGCAGGCTCATGTGCCAGCAATGTCGACCCTCCTTCATTCGGGAGGGCAGGAACAGGCAGAAAAATCCTCTGAGGGCGAAGGGAGACCACGCTGGCCACCTGGGACAGGGTGAGTCGGTGGCATGAAGCTGACGCCAGGGGAAGGGCAACCTAGGCGGAGGTACCAGCACAAGCTGAACTTAAACCGGGGCTGCGACTCTGCACATTAAGCCCGAGCTTCATGGACCGAGGGAGAAAACAGAGTTAAGATCAGCTTGAGGTTGGAGCATGTATGGGCAGGGCTCGGGAAGTCAGAGTAAGCAGTTCTTATTTTATTCAGGGAGTGAGAAAACACCGAGGGATTTTTTAGCCCAGTGTGGGGGAGGGAGAGGGCGGGGCATAAACTGTAACCGGGGAAACCCGCGAAAGGCCGCTGCAGTCATCAGGTGAAAGCGGATGGGCTCAGATGTGTTCTGTGGTGACAGTGACGTAACTAGATAGTTTGTGGACTCATGGGGGAGAAGGACAGAATCCAGGAGAATGTCTAGCTTTGAGCCAAAGAAGCAGGGAGATGGAACCACCACCCACAGAGTTCCTTACGCCAGAAATTTGAATTTCTGATCATCTTGCTACTTCCCCACCCAAGACACACATCATAATTGATGATGACCCAAACACATACTGCTAAAGCCGGCCTTGGCTGCTGGCTTGGGCTTCCAGAGCGCCACTCCCGCCCCATGCCCTTCCCTCTGGATCATCCCCCCTGTCCTTCTGAGGTGAGCTCAGGTCCCCTCCTGAGCCTTCCAGTGCCGAGCACTCTCCAGGAGCCCAGCCTGCATCCCTGGCCCTGTTCACTAGGGTCTTTAACTCAGCGGCTTTTTCCTCCACTCCTGGTGCCTGGGGCTCATGCTTCTGCCAGACCACCACCCTACACTGGCAGGGTGGCCCGGGTCAGGGCAGACCCCTACTGTCTGTCTGTTCAAGCTGGGGGTACAGCAGCGCCCAGGCCCTCACCCAGCACACTCCCAGGCCTGCCAGTGCCTTTAGGCCCAGCTAGCTTCCCCGCCTGCCCAGCCAGCACCTCGGCCAGGCCTCCCTGTTCAAACCCAATGGGTGCTCCTTTCAAACACAGATCTGATCCGACCCCTTCCCTGCTTAAAGCCCTTCTGTGAATCCCAGTACCCAAGCACCCCCCCGGGGCAAAGTAATGTTCCCGACTTGGCATTTGGGAACCCTGACACCCAGCACTGACCCCAGCCTTCAGAGATTTCACCACCAAAGTGCTGCAGGCTCTTAGCACAACCATGCATACGCACATTCCAGATTCTCACAAACACTATTTCTTTTATCCAAACGGACCTCCTCCAGTAGCCTGGTGAATATAGCACTGTGCCCAAAGTAGGCATGTGACACAAGTTTGTTGAACGACTGACTCTTCACAGCCACAGCCTGCCCCCGCCTCCTCCAAGAAGCTTCCTGCTGTCACTCCCTTTCCTGCCAGGAGAGCAGCTTGCCCCGATTACCTGGTGCCACACCTAACTGCCTGACCCCTCCCTAGAAAGACCTTTAGGTGGCACAGCCAGGGTTGGGGAGGAAGGCTCTGGGTTCCCTGCCCCGAAAGGTTTGGCACCAGAGAGGCCAAGAGCAACGCCAGATGCCTTGTTTACATTTCACATGTCCTTGGCCACTCTTGCCAGCCAGCACCGGTCACCAAGCACTGCCACGGCCTCAGAGACTCAGCCGTCTACTCCACCCCGAGGAGTCGGCGCCGTCCCCCTCCTCCCCAGGCCTGCAGCTGTGCCTGGAGTCCGCTCTCTCGAATGCTCACTGGCCCAGCACGCGTGAGGTCTACGAGGGCACCAGTGGGAACTTGACCTACTCGATGATCGCTGGGGCCTTTACATTATAGTCACCCCAGGAATCAGCAAGGGATGAGATGTTGGGTGAGGCTACGCTGGGGGGAGGGGAACAGGGATTGGGGTGCTGGGAGTCATCTCTGAGAGCTGAGTGCCAGTGGCCTTGGGACCTCCTCTGGGGATTAGTGGTACTGGAAGTCACCTCTAAGGAGCCGGGGTTGGGTTAGGGGCACTGGGGGTGAAGGGTGCTGGGGGTCACCTCTGAGGATTGGGCTCGTTATGCTTGTCCCGGTCGTGCTTGATCATGCGGTAGCGGCCTATGCGGATGTCTGGGCGCGAGATCTTCATCCCAGTCAGGGAGATCCTGGGGACGGGGACAGACGGACTGGAGCAGGCACCAGGAAGGGCAAGGAGCCCCCCCAAGTCTGTGCCGCACCCTCACAGGCCCCCAGTCTACTCCCGCACGGTCCCCACTCACCGGTTGAAGATGTCGTCGTCCTCACCGCCCCAGCCCCAGTACTCGTTGGGGAAGCCGTTGATTCTCAGAAACTGGGCTTTACTCAGGCCCGACACACCTCCGAAGTAGCCCGCATAGGGCAGCCTATGGTGGGGGAGGGCAGGTGTCAGTGGGGCTCCAGCAGGGACGCCAGACGGGGGCCGGGGATGGGGAGGGGGTGAGTGTACCATGGGGCCGAAGCAAGCAGGGGGCGGGGTCTGGTGTGGTGCAGAGGTAGGGGTGGGAGGTCAGAGGTCCAGGTGAGAAGGGCCCTCACCGGAAGCCAAACTTGTCCATGGCAATGGCGAAGTGGCGGGGCTGGTCACCACAGCGGTACAGGTTACGGTCATCCATGGGGACCAGGTCCACGTCGCTGAAGATGAAGCAGTCGTAGGCGGCGTCCTCCTTGAGAGCTTCTAGGAAACCCACGTTAAGCAGCTTGGCCCGGTTGAAGGTGTCCTCACCATGCTGGGAGTGGAGGAGAGGACAGGTCAGCGCCAGGCTCGTGACCAGAGGCACCTGGACTTCACCACTGTCTAGAGCAGTCCCCAGGGGCTACTGGTGTCCCCACCCCCACCACAGCACCCCCAGATTCTCATGATCAATCCAGCTTCTCTGCCTGGACCTGGTCTTCCAAGGCCTTTCATGATTGATTCCTCTCTCGCCACTGCCCTCTGGCCCCACTATGTTCCTCAGCAGCCCCAGAATATGCCAGGACCATTTTTGCTTCTCGGCACTGGTGCCAGCAGGTCCTTCTCTGGTGTCAAACTCCCAA